AAGTAAAAAACTTATCCAATGTAATCTTGGTGAGATAAAGGAAAAACTAAGAAAGGTTTTACTTGCAGCTGAGTAATTAACAGCAGCAGTTGCCCACTCATCATCCTGTGTTCCATCACAGGCTAGATGGAGGTATTAATCTTCAGCTGCACATTTTTGTGTCTCTCACATCCTTGTGTCTGAAGGTAACTTGCAGTGGGATTTAAGAAGCTGCAAAGCCCAAATGCAACCCCACTGGCAAACCACCCCTGTTACTTATTCTCCTGTTAAAGAATGGGAACAGTAAAATGTTTTCTTCAAGGAGTCAAAAATAAAATCAGTGAGGTATGTGCTATAACTCCATGACACAATAAAGCACAAAGGACAGCTTAGGAGTGTTGCAGGATGTCTAATGAAAATCAAGACAGATAGCAACCTCAGACATGGAAGCTGTGCAGTAGTGGAGAAGTGTGATTGCATGCTTATCTTTGATACAAAGGGCTGTGGAGAATCGTTTTAAAACAATTATTGCTATAATGTGCAGCAGTCTCATACTAATGTTCTCTTCTGTAACTTGTCCTCTTTCCAGCTTTGTGAAACAGAAAACAGTAATTAAATATATCTTCACAGTAAAAAGTTTATTGACTTCCTTGGTCAAATTTACCAAAGGTTGACCGACGACAGTATGTACCTCAGTATGTACCATAAGACACCTTATTTTCGTGGTGCATCTCTGAAGCCAAAACAACTTAAGCAAAGAGAATGCAGTGTGTGTGCTGGTGTGCCCAGCTTTTGTGTAATAAATTCCAGACATGAAAATGGACTAACTAGAGTTACTGCTCTGGTTTTGACACCACATGTAAATAACCCAGTCAAACTGTACCTTGCTCTTCCATAGCAGGCAGGGGTTAAACCTGCAATATGATACTGGAGATCCTGGGTTTATTTTGCTACAATGTGGATTAACGGGCTACCTGGCAGCTAATCTGTCTTGTCAGGCACTACTCTCTAATTCACCCTGCTCCCTTTTCTGAGGGAAAGAAGGAACAGATGTTTAAGCAGCAGAGTTGTCTGAGCAGCCTCACTCTTTCGTTTGTCTGCCAAATCCAACTCAGACAGCAGACTGTGTCTGCTGCAAGGCCTTTAGAGCACCAGCTTCCCTCTATCTCCCCACACTACAGAAGGAGAATGAGGCCGACTCACCTCTGTTGGTACCAAGATCCATTCAATCTCATTGCTTTCCTTACTTTTTCCCCTCTTCTTTTTTTTTTTTTTTTTTTTTTTAATTTTTCCTTTGCTCCATATCTGCTGGTTTTAGCCCTGTTTCTCCTCCTTGGACACAGCAGCTAACTCAGCCTGATTTATCCCACCTTCCCTTCTGCCCTGTGGCAAAAGTCTCTCCAGCACACTTGCATTTGTGTCCCTTGAAAAACATACACACACTTCTGCAGGTGCAAGTGTCAGAAAATGGGATTGGAGCCACATTGCAGGCATGTATGGGTCTATGCAGAAAGGAAGAGAAGAAGCTGCTTGCAGAAGTCAGGGGTGTCTTTCAGGGCACCCCAGAATCTGACTCGGATCCTCTGACTGCTGCTAAGCAGAGGCAGTCTACATTGCTTTGTTGTAAATTTCAGGTCAGCATCCTTCTATTTCCAGCCCTGTTGTACTATTTCACAAAAGTGACCTTGGGACAGTGAATTCCCCTGGCTTTGCTGAGGGCATTTGTCCCAAAAAAGAGAACCCTGAAGAGTGAGGAAGTCTCCCTGTTGTTAGGAGCAAGATGCTCTGTCTAGGCCTGGCATAAAGCCAGGCTTTTATATTGAGTTCTGTCTGTGAAAATTGTCAGGAAAAAAAACCCCATCGCATACTTCCTTACTGGCAGCCTTGAGTTTTAAATCATTCCAATTTTGTCTTCCTCTGTCACAGCTACGCATCCTGTTCTAACTTGAAAATTTCATTAGCGTCTTGAACATTTCTCCATTCTGCAGCCTCAGAAGTTGCAGACTTTCCTATTTCCTCTGAGTTGTCGCAATGGCAGGGTGAAGATGTGCACGCCAGGAAACTGGGAAGACAGAATTACAATGACATATTTGTTCAGTTGTTGAATAAACATTTGAGCAAAGCCTAGAATGAGTCATCACATTAAAAGCTGTTCTTTGTATCCTCCTTGAGACTGCTTTTATAAAATTAATATAAAAGTCAGATCCAGTTAATCCAAATAATTGTGCAAATTAAAATCTACAGGCTTTTAAAAGCATACCTACCCCAGTGGGACAGCAGAAGGTTGCATTGCCTGTACCTCAGTCGCTAGATGCATTTTGAGTGCAGAGCCCTGAGTCCCTCATGGGGAAGCACATGCACTGTCAAAAGCTGACATGTGGGTTCAGCCTGTGGAGAGTGTGCTGGGCTGCAGCTGGCATGAAAATGGATTTTGCCAGTGAGATGATGACTTTATCAGCTTTCCTCACAGACTGGGCTCAAGAAGTACATGTGAAAGGATTCAGACTCTATAGATCCTCTGTCCTCATACACACCTTATGCATAAGGTATCTTAATCTGGCCCATAATCCTTTCTCAGGTTGAAAAGAAATCTTTATACCATATGTGTATAAAAACTTATTTTCTGTGAACACTCAGACAGAAGAATAATCAAAAAATGGATCTTCTAAGTTGATCTGCCTTATGCAGGGAGTAGCTCTGTTTAAAACAGGAAAACATTTTGGTTTTGATATTTTGCTTCCTGTATGTGAAATCCTAAGCCTTTCATTTTAGAGAAATAAAATCTGTTTTAATTTTCTATATAACTGAGAGGATTAAAGGGACATCTCAAACATGAAAAGGTAGCCTTCCTGGAGTCCCTAAATATGTATCATTAAAAATGGAGTAAGTGAATGAATATGATTTAGATGCTCAGCAGCCAATTCCAATGCAAGTCTAAGTGCAGACAGAAGATTCTGCACCCACATAACCTGGCCAATTAAAAATAGATGCCATTGTGATATCATCTTTTTTCAGCTGGACTTGAACTTGTCTTTGCAGGGCAGAAGTGAACAAATTCATTCTGCCTGTGCTCCAAAAGAAATACAAGCTTTTTAGATGGACTGAGACTGAGCTGGGCTCTGCTTGGTAGACTGAAATTCCTGCCCATATGACAGTTTGGACTGTGCTAGTCATGCTTTAGTTTAAAAAATAATCACCAAGCTTGTTCCTGACCTGCTGTTGAAGTGAAGAGTATGTTTTTGTTTTAAATGGCCTTGTTTGCCTACAACTAAGCTAAAAAGCCATAGCACGGTGTGATTTAGTACCCTAAGCATAGTCTATTTTAGGCAGTGTAGGGCATCTGAGACATCTGCATGGGTGTAGCTCACATGAGATATTGCCTATAGCAGACCCATGCCTCTCCAAGGCAGCACCTGGAGGCCAAATAGGATTTCTTAGGATATCTACAATGGCACAAGGTAACTAAGTAAATGAATCCCATCCTGTGGAATCTTGGACTCTACTCTGCTTGAAATCTGGAAGAATTAGTTTATGCAGCACTGTATATGCATGTACTCTCAGCATTCTTCAGTTTGTGGAGGGTTCAGGATAAAAATAAAGCTACCTCTATGTGCTGGGGTTTGCCTTCCACCAGGCATTGCAATAACAGTTTGTATTTCTTTCTGATTCAAAAAGTAATTATTTGTTTTTACTAGTCTACAGAAAGAAATGTTATTTCAATCTCATCCAGAGAGTGCTGATGATAAACTTCTCATATCTCTTCCCTTTCATGTCTAGGCATTTCTGATAGAAGCACCACACATTTCTTGAAGATTTTGAGTACTTATAAACCCTGAGATCTTCAGAGGTTTTGTGTAACTGGAAAGGCTTTTTAGAAACCAGTAGGTGATGTTATTCTTCATTGAATTATATAGGAAAAGAGGACCCAGAAGAATCATTGCCTTATAAAAGATTACAAGAATCCCTCATCACCAAAAGATACATGAGCTGTGGTAGCAATATTGTAATGCCTTATATAAGATTTGAAGGAATTGAAATGTCTATAGGAATTAGGATTTTTTAACCTTTACATATCAGGGCTTGATACATATCTTGTTCTTGCTTTTTGTTATGTGACATATTCATATGTGATGTGCCTTGAAAGTCAACAGCTTTTTGATTTCTGTCCTGTGAAAATCAACATTAGTTGTTATGTTTGAGTAACCTCATCAGGTAAGGGAACTGCTTTAAGATTCAGACATTTATAAGGAATTTAAGGTTTGAGATGTTCTTAAGGATAAAGTTGTGGGGAGGAAAGTTCAGACAAAAGCAAAGAGCAGTTCATCAGTCATTCAGGCAAAGGGAAATCCCAGTCAATGGGCAGGATGTTAGTAGAAATATAAAGCTGGTGATTCTATCTACACTTATAAAAATAAATCAAATATGTACAAAACCTGTGGCCCACATAAGGAAAAAATTTCTCAGTGATCAGATCAATTAACTAAAAAAAACCTAAACTCCATAGTTTTCCAGGCCTAAACAAATTGGAATCAGAGAAGAGTGCATGGTGAACATAAAAAAATAAAGTATGATTTGGTTTTATTTCTGACTTTTGTATTGGTAATAACTCCAGTTCCAAAGCTTTTACAAACTTCAGTAGAACTAAGAGCTGAGTTTTTGCTCTAGAACAACACTTACCATTAAATAAAGGAATAAAGTGGGCTCATTTCACTCTTTTTAGCAGTATGGTCAATTTTAGAAATGTCTCCTCAACTTAAAATGAAATAAGAAGCAATCCAGGCACTGCACTATGTATGACAATAAAAAATGGCAGGTTCCTATTGATTCAACACACTCAGAATCTCATTAGTTATCAAATGGGACTTGAGTACTGCCAACAAATATTTTTTTTTTCATTCTCTGCTGCCCAAACTCACCAAATACAGATTAGTCTGGAGTCCATTTATTGTTCCTGCTAGAGGTGATATAAAATAAAAATCAGTTTTAGATACACAGATGTTTTTTCCCCCTCCTTCCTTCAGGCTGTTGAGGAATGCACAGAATGAAGTTAATTTCAAAATCTGGTGTCAGAAACTACTGGCTGCTCTCCAATTCTGTGCTGGAAAAACCCTGAACAATGAGTTTTCTAAGGAGGAGAAAGCTGCAAGTGTACCGAAAAAGAAAGGTTTGTTAAAAAATATCTCCACTTCTGTCTAAGTTTCTTCAGGTAATTTTATTTTTTTCTAAGGTGACACTTCTTTCCTATAATGCTGTTTACATAAATAAACCCAAGATTTGACTAAAATTTGTAAAATTTTGTGCTGTTCTGAAAACAAGTAAAACATGTATATCCACATGGGACAACTCTCATCACTATTATACTTGAGGTCAGTGGATCTTATAAGTAATTTAAAATCCTTCATCAGTGGTTTCTCAACCAGACTTGAGATTGTCAGAAATAATGGACACATAGCTGATAAACATTTTACTGAAAGGAATGCTCACATTCAGCACCTAATCCCAAAATATTTGACTCTTGTAGAGCTGCAGTGTTTTTTGAAAACCTTGCTAATAGTTGTCCTTGTCAGGCTGAACATCCTCATTTCTTAGCAAAGCCAATCAGAGTGGACTGTACTTAGTATCTCAAATAGAGCATTCAGCAATTAATACTGCATGCATTTCATCAGAGATGCATTCCTGGCAGTAGAAGGCTTCCAGGCTTCTCCTCCAATGGGTGCAGCTTTTACATTGCATAGGTGCATTTCCACTGCAAAACTGTTAATTTTCCAAAACAGCTGTTGTTACTTAACTGATGTGTAAAACTGCTTCTTGCTGAGATCTCAGCAAGACAGACCAGAAAGCCAAATAAAAATATACCTCCCACTTCTGGTTATCATGAAAGTTATCATTAATTCTTTTTGCCTTGTTAAGGATTCAAAGATTTGCAAACGATTTTTCCAAAACTCTCAGTGTTGCTACCGAGAACAGCAAAGCAAACATGGAAGAAAAAATTATTTTGCAAAGAGAAAAATCCATGCAATGAAAAGAAATAGCAGTGATATATTATACATTACTGATGCATAATTCAGATTTTAGGGATTAACCTCAAGGCTGCAGTTACTGTGATACTGAGAAACTCAGCCTTGCAGTTAACACACCTACAGTTAGGAAAGGGAAATCACAGTGTTGAGGCAACAAGCAATGGATTGTGAAGTTGTTCAGCAAGGCAAAAAAGACATGAGACAGAGTAGAGCAGGTAGAAGGCTAATCAGACCCTAATGAAGGGTATTGAATCTGAACCTACATGACAGCATGAACTGGTAGTGCATCTAAGCAGAAAAAGCATGAATCTGGAGTAAAATCACAGTTCTTAATTTTAATAACTGCACCTCAGTGTGACCTCATTAGATGTTATAATGTCACATTGATGCTACTAGCTACAGAAATTGTACTGCTTGTTTAAAATATAGAAAGACAGTCAATGTCTTAAAAGCTGTTGTTTTTCTTTCATGTTGCCGTAATGATTCACATGTTGCAGGAGGTGTTAAAGATGGAGCTCAATAGGCTTCAGTTCTTCCCGGAGGCAAAGGTTTGTCAGCTTCCTCTGAATCCTGCACTTGTTGTCCAAGTCATAGAGGCAGACAAGTCTAGCTCATGCAGTGGATTGTGTTTTTAATTAATTTTGTAGTATATTTTAATTATTATTTGTTTTTTTTAGTATAAATGGGAATAGAGATGGGCTGAGGCCAACTGGAGGAGTTTCAATAAGGCCAAATGCCGGGGGCTGCCCTTGGGCCACAACAACCCACAGCAGCGCTACAGGCTTGGGGAGGAGTGGCTGGAGAGCTGCCAGTCAGAGAGGGACCTGGGGGGGTGATTGACAGCTGGCTGAACAGGAGCCAGCAGTGTGCCCAGGGGGCCAAGAAGGCCAATGGCATCCTGGCTTGTGTCAGCAATAGCGTGGCCAGCAGGGACAGGGAAGGGATCT